CACAGACAACATATACTACAGACGGTCAATGCAATGCTATAGAAATAAACGTAACACCTAATAGAGTACGGTTAGTGTGTTGTCTACCTTGCAGCAGTCAAAATAATTTGTCGTAAAATGTGGTAGACGCACAGAAAACTGTTGTGTGTGGTAAAAGTGTGCAATAGATGGAGTCATTTTTGTAGAAATAAAATACATACTCAAACCTTATTTCCTCGGCTTCAACGCAGGCCTTTATGTAGATAAGATAAGCGCTCACTTGTATAACATCATAAATTACATGAAATAGGATACATTTTAATTCTTCATTTTTCTCTTTTCTAAACATTTAAAAAATTGATGGAGCGGGTTTGGTTATTATACAAGGGCGGAAACTAAATTTGGCCTCCACATATAAAATTATGAGGTTGGACAAGGAAAGATTTTATTAGAATAATAAACATAATTTTTGTTTTTCCATAATAAATATATTATTATACCGGGTGGTGACTTGTTCAACGCATCATAGGAATTGCAATAGAAATTTTTTCATTTCTGATTATTGACTCTCTAATTATTTTAGAGAGAAAGTCTATTTAGGTTTTTTGTAGGGAAAAAAATTACGAATCCATGCATACTACCTATAGCTTTTAATTTTCTGAACTTTGAATCCAAGAAATTGGATAATTAAAAACTGGCGCTTTTAAGAAAATCAGTGGTGCCATGGCAATTTGAGATCAAACATGACAAATGCAGGCGCTTTTGTTTGGTTTCCTAACTCCATGGAATTACCGATTTTATAAACGCGACAGTTTTTAATTTTTAAATTTTTACTGATTCTGAATTTATAAAATACGAAACGAATACGAAATACTGATTCGTTTATATAATTCGAGGTAAATCTTTCACTCACGCCTTTGACGTCCCGACGAAGGCGACGACGGGCGACTTTAGCGCCCCCCAGGCTTGGCGTCCAAGGCCTGGGCCCCCCTCGCCCCTCCTACTCGCACGGCCTTGCCTACCTATATGTATCTGTGATAATACCATCACAATTTTTTTTTATTAGGGGAGGGAGCACTTAACGAACTTTATTTTATGTCAATGTGTAGGGTCAACATAGTCCAGTCAAATTAGCTCCAAAAGTATTCTGAACTGGATGTTGGCATTTCACACAACGAAACCAAGTGTATTCTATGTAGTTCACTGCTCGGAAGCTCCCGGAACATATTGCTATACACAAAAAAAAAACAAGAAAAAATGGAAAAATGCAGTTTTTTTCGCATTTGACTTCCAATTATCTCGTCAACTATTGCTCGAGCTCATAGAAATGAATTTGTTTAGAATCGAATTTTCAGTTGGTACAGGGCTCGGAAAGGACCAGAACGAGCCGGAACGCTGTTCCGGTTGGTAAAAAGTATTACAATATTGTTCCGTTTCGTCGAAAATATTTGTACACTGTTCCTTTTCGTAAAGGGACCGCAGCGTCAGATCCTCTCCATCCGCACACAAAGAAATTTTACAGAACCCTACATATTGTTGGATTATTTGTCATTAATGCGATAAAAATCACATGGAAACGAAAATACGTCCTTCAGATCATACCAGCACACGAAACCCATTAGTATCCACTGGTCTCCACACCAAGGGAAACAATAAAAATGAAACATTTAATTTTTGTTACGTTTTCTCGTTGTTTTAATGTACGTAGTACATGTTTTCTATGTTACCCCCCCCCTCCCCCCTTCCTCCTGATGGGCTGATGCTTGCGTTCCGGCGAAAATTTCCATTCCGAGCACTGGTTGGTACAGAACCGTTTATTTTTAAATGTTATTGTTTTTTCTGGAAAAATACAAAAAAAGTAATCCCAAAAATTAACATTTGTTTTTGTTGATACGCCCTTCTCGATGCTTTGTCCTTCAAACTGGATGACTCCTAGAGCGTTTTCAATATTTTTATGGATGGTGGAACCGTAAAACAACCTATTCCAACAATTGTCTGTTGTCCCGATGAGTTTTGCAAATCGACGGACTGTGGAATTAGTTTAGTGGAAACCCCAGAAATAGAACAAGAAAGTAACTTTATGATAGACCCTTGGCACTCTGTTTAATAAAAATCATACCAACTGTATCGGATACAAAAATCGATCCTAAACAAATTCGTTCTCTTCATTTTTTCCGTAAGAGGAATAGTTAACGAGATACCTAATTAAATGCGAAAAAACGACATTTTCCCATTTTTTCTTCGTTTACTTGTGTATAGCAATATGTTCCCGGAGTTTCCGGTCAGCTAGACTGTCATTTACGGATTCAGGGGATTTTTTTGCATACAATACACATGGTTTCGTTGAGTGAAGTGACAACACACTAAATCGGCAGACAGTAATAGATATAAAACTATAAACCATCTCGAGGATCGCTATTAAAACTTTGCTTTGTGACAATTTTCGTAGGTAATTGCACAAGTGCATCAAAATGCTCTTTTAACAAATTATGAAGTGTAACTTCAGCGCATTTTCCGTAAATTGATCAATACTTCCCCAAAGGCCATACCTATATGTGCGCTACGTTTTTCATTACTAGACGCATATATGGTTAAAATTTTAAAGAAATATCTTCATAAATAAGGAAGTTGACACTTACTGCGCAGTTGATATTGCGCGTCCTGCGCATGCGCTTATTAATCTGATATTTATAAAATGCAATACGTTTGCTTTTACTATAAGTATCTTTGGTTAAAATTTCAAAGAAATATCTCCATAAAGAAAGTTTGCATTGCGCAGTCTGCGCATGCGCACATCTGATTTTTACTATATGCGATATATTTGCCTTTACTACAAGTATCTGTGATTAAAATTTCAACAAAATATATTAATAAATAAAAAAGTTAACATTGCGCAGCCTGCGCATGCGCAGTTCAATCGTCAAGATTTTCTTTGACTCAGGTGCCAGAGCGATACGCTACCGAATGCAAAAAGAACGAACTAAATATCTTCAAAAACTGTAGGAGTAGTTAAGGCCTCGGCCAGACGGACGGACAGAGAAAGTGGCTGCAATAGCGCACCCAACTTCGTTGGAAAATGCGCTAAAAATTATCAGGATTATTTTGATGCACGAGTGTAATTCGGGGGAATATTTCCTGAATAAACATTACAAACTCACCTTACCTACTTATAAAATTGTTAAGTGTATTCCCATGAAATGTGCAATTATCGCAGGGCTCTTTCGTTTTCTACAATGCAATTACCGCTGTAATTGACCGATAATTGCACACCTCAAATGGGATTTATTTCATATGAGGCAAATATTCATTCGAATCGCATGTATGGTGCATGCCATTCATCACGCCTAAATTTTTTTTTTTCGTAAACCATCACAGATAGCGATATTCATCAAGAGACAAAAAATGCTTGCAAGTAAACTGTCTATCAGTGTCTAAAACTTCAGAACTGTCAAAATAGTAGTTAAAAAGTTTTAGACCTCTTCAGATGTGGATGGTCAGTGTTTTATTACCACCTACATAGCAACTACAATCAAAACGATGATATCACAAAGACCCTTTTTACATTAGACATTCACATCCCGAATTTCATTTTAATCGGCAAAACCATTTTCCGATAAAATAAAAATAACGATTTTTTTTTTAATCTTTGGCGGTAGATAGCGCCTTACCGAAGCACTTTTGGATAGAGGTAAGTTGGGATAAATCGTCCTATTTTGATACCAAGAACCCCTGGTAGCGCGTTGTACAGACCTTTTAGGAACACCCTATATAGTAGACCTCAAAATGTTTGTATAAAACTGTATTCGATATCTTGTATATTTTCCCCGATATGTATATGAACCTTGTATATGATAGTAAAGAGGTCACAAATACTCTTAATTTCTGGGAAATAAAATGAGAATGTATTACAAAACTCAGGTGGGCGCATGCGGGAAGCATATTCTCCTTGGATCTTCCTAATGGAAGGGAAGTAAATAACATACGTAATGCGGAGCGCGCATGCGCATAACAAACTGCAACGTTCTTATATTTTGAGCAATAAAAACCAATAGATCACAAATGCCATTTTCTTTCTTGTGGACGCTAGCAGCAAGATCCCCTGATGCTTGGCAAATTGTTCCACCTGATCAATGGAGTCAAGTGTGCGAATCAAGGTGAACGATTTGCGCTCCGGCCTTGAACAACCTCATCATTCGTATCTGCGCATTCGCGTAACGTTCTAATATATTTATGTTTTAGGGGTTCGCCGAGACATCGGAATATATCACCGCCGCCCGGCGTCGCCCCGCCGGCGTCGTTCGGCAGCGACGCCGACCTACACACGTTTAGGGAGGCCCTAGCACGATCGCCGATATCACGCCTACCTCTTAGTACCGATCTATGTGCTTTCATAACGGGTGAAATAGATAGGAACGGTAAACGAGCGCCCAGCCCTTCCGACGTTCCAATGAGCAGCCCTTCCCACCACAAAAGACCTAGGTATATGTGAGATAAGACGTTTGTTTCAATTTCGCCATCGGTGGTGTTTGTATTTCAACTGTGAATATAGTTATAGCTATTGTATAATCATCATCAAGCAGTGTTTAATTCTTTATTATAAAACTACGCGTAATTTTTTTTGATCTGCAAATTTTATCCGATGTTTTACTTTTTCTTTTTTTTATACTAAATCATTGCCAACGTTTCAATTTTGCATCAAATGCAGTAACATGTTCCTTTATTTAACTGGTGATACACAATCATTCTTATGGGACATATTCATGTGTACAGAGCTTTTCTCGTTTTTGGTGCCTTTTTCTAAACGCACTCGTGGAACAGTGCAAAATTGAGGTGTGTTGCAGTTAAAGTGAGACTCTCTCTATGCATGAAAATGTTACCAGTGATACCTGTATGACAAAATAGGGCGTGCACCCCTTATTCTAACCGTTTCAGTTGATAATAGGCATCTTCACAATTTACTAGCTTGTGATATTGTATTCTATTTGTGACCAAGCGTAACATAAGCTATACGAATTCTGGTCCTTCAACCTTTATAATTGCATCTTGGCTTTCCTTTTTTGTAGAATTGGTGCCAAAATTAAAAATGTAGTCACGAACCTACTTAGGAACGCTTTGCAAAATAATTGTTTGAAAATTTGTTTCGTTTGCCGATTGCAGTAAAACAAGAGTGCTACTTTACTGATTTCCCCTCATAGTCATACGATGAATGTAATTTTCAATAATCTCCACTTTGTTAAAATATTATGTGATATGTTATTTAAAATTGTGTGGTTCAAATTAGTGATTATCTCGTAATCGTTTTATTTTAATACTACTATATTTTGCACCAAGTGTAACAGGTTGTAGTATATTTTACTAATAAAATTATTATAATGGTAATTTTGTGTGTTGTGATTATTGAAAAGTAAAATGGGGGAAGAGTGCTCTTGTTTAAAAAAAGATGTAACAATTTATGTTAAATTTTTATTGTTTTTTTTAAATAAATATCAGCGATTTAGTCTTTCATTTCTTGTTAATTAATTAGCTGTAACTTTATTTAATATATTTCATTATTGTAAATTATTGACTATTAAAATATAGATATTATTTCTTTTTGCGTTTATTTCAGTTTCTGCGGCTGATTATTATTTTCATAAATGGTAGTAATTATGTAAAGTATCGGCAACGATGGTCTTAGGATAAATCCGAGAGATGGTGTAGAACCGTTGAACGGTAGGTACTCAATGCCCAATGGTAGAATCCTATATGGATACATTGAAGGGTGATTTAAAACCATAACCACGGATATGCACAAACAATAGATTGCTAACCTTATGCATTTTGTGGGTAACACATTTAAGACTGTTCCCTTCAATAGGTACACTTTTCAATTTTGAAGATGCTCATGAATGCGTTTGTCCGTTAAAAACTGCGTCACAGATAGGGCATTGTGGGTTGGTGCGTTGGCCTGGTGCAGAATCCATGAATCGTTCTTCCATGCATCTGGCATTTTCTTCCTTACTCTTTTCCTTAGCTTGGTTAGGACTTCTTTGTAGTATTGCTGATTGATGGTTTGACCCTCAGGCACCCATTTAGTCATGATAACACGCCTTTTAATATTGAAAAAATTGAAAATTAGCATGGTTTTCTGTGTTTGATTTGTATTGGAAAATCCTTGTTTCATCACAAGTGATGACATTTCTGTTCCAGAGTGAGGTTTTTCGGCCCGCTAAAATCTACGTAAAAGGTTCTATACAATCCGTTTTTACCCTCTGAATAACTTTGATCATAGTCGAGATATGAAATTGGGAAGTTTACGAAATTGGCTCTTTTCAGATTTTTGCGTTTTTATATCTTCATTAATTCGAATTTTTTAAGCAATTATGTAGGCACATGCTAAATTTATAAAAAATATTGTTTTCACGAAAAGTAAACGAGGTATAGGTTGCTAGCACTAATCACAAATATGTTGTAAATATCAAAAATCTAATAAAAAGTAGGGCATTCCATTCGAAACAATTAAGTAAGGTAGCGCCACCTGGTGGTGAGGCATTTAATTTAAAAGATTTGATCACAAAATATATGGCCCTAGCCTATATTTATAACAAAATTTTTACAATTTTAAAATCTGCATTCGTTCCCGAGATGCTGTCTCATTCCTCGCTGAACACTCTGTATAATGCCTCGTATCTTGAATAATCCATAAAATAAGGGATATATATATATTTTAAATTATTATAACTTTTTAACAAAAAATAACTGAAATCTAATTGCTTAAGAAATGGGATTTAGTACTAAGAAAAGAATACACATTTTAAAATTTATGGTGGATGACTCAGGATGAGAAATTCTAGTAATATTTGTAGTGTACTTAACCCCGAGGTTCTACGCTAACTTCACACTACAAGAACGTGGAAATAACATATATATATAAGAGAATATATGGGAAATAAAGTCAACCGGGCAACGTTTAAAAATGGCCACCCGAATGAAGATTCCCTCCAAAATTAAATTAAACAAGATCCCGCTTAAATTTGAAAAGTGGCACGTGATAAGACATCTAAAGCAGGGGGGCTACGTTAGTTATAAACAACGCTTTGACCTGAAGCACAGTAGGGAAGGGACGTAAAATAAAACACTGAAATTGTAAAAAGTTTGTTTATAATAATATTTAATTGACTGTAAAATATGCTTACAAACAATATAAATAAACATATTTAATAATGATCGTAATTATTATGATTGTAAAAGCTCGGAAATTTAAGTCAAAAATTCATTTTTCACCGAATAAAAATAGAAATAGCCTGGGGAAAAAAAAGAACTTACCAATAAAAAAACCAGCCGTCAACCTAATATCAAATTTTGGTGTAAAATTAATTGCTTGTAATGATGTGAATGCGTAACATACAATTATAACATCACAAAAAATAGCAGGTAAACTTCAAGAGGTAACACGTAGGTTAAAAACAAGTTTTGGGAATTATGGGTCAGGTATAAGCAGGTACTCATCTTTGGTGCAATAAAGTCCTTTTGTTAAAAGCAAGATGGAGAATTATAAGGTCTTGTAAACTGAATAGCTTTGATTAGCGCGTAATCCCGCTCCTGCAAGATAGGTAGCCCGCCCTGATTTCGGGGTTTCGAGCCTACAGTTGAAAATCGAAGACAATCACGGAATTAGGTGTCGTAGCTCAATTATGACTACAGTTTTTACCACCCCCGTGACTGCTTCATTCACGGAGAAAATGGTTAGTTACAAACAAGTCAGTACATACATCAGACGAATCGGCGTTTTCCACATATTACAATAAAATGATCAAAACTTATAGGAATGTTACTTTAGGGACAAGACCAAGTAATCAACGTCAATAAACATAAATTAAGCAAGCATTACACCAAAAACGTAAACAATTATAAACAAAAGGATAACGGTTTACGGTAGGTATTAAACATTTCATTCTGCATTGCGGTTAAAGCAAGTAAATTTCAAAAACAAAGATTGAAACATACAAAAAATATAGAATGCGGCATACAAAACACAAATACGATTTAAAGAAATGCAAAAATTACTCCCTGCATTAAATAACACAAAATAACAACAAACATTTATGGAGCGATCCGTTCACGACCGCCATTCAAAACAAGATCCCACCCCAATTCCCCACCTAGAAATTGCATGGTTGCCAACTCTCAAAAATGTATGTATCGTCGTTGTATATACAGGGTGTGGAACCTTTCACATGGTTCTACATTTTTATATTGTTCTACATCCTATATCTTTTGAGTTTTCTGTTCTCTTGTGTTTTCATTTTTTACACTGTTTACATTATTTTACACTTTTATACGTTTTTCAAAGTTTTTTTTTGGTTTTCCACCGTTTTTACATGTTCTTAATGTTGTCTCATTTTTCTGCATTTATTTCCAGTTTTTTACATTTTTATATCTTTCTACGTGTCTTTTCAAGTTTACACATTATTTATGTTTTTTATATTTAAAATTTTTAAAAATTTTACGGCGTTTTTCTACATTTCTATTACATTCTTTAGGTTTTGTAAGATTTTTCCGCGTCCGCTTTATTTTAAAATTTCAATTCCATATGTTTTTTTTACATTTTTTCTAACCTTTTTTACATTTGTTATACTTTTTCAGATTTTTGCGTTTTTATATTTTCATTCATTCGAAATTTTTAAGCAATTATGTATAGGTACATGCTAAATTTATAAAAATTATTATTTTCCGGAAAAATAAACGAGGTAGGTTGCTTAGCACTTATAAGTAATCACAAATATGTTGTAAATTCCAAAAATCTAATAAAAACTAGGGCATCCCATTTGAAACAATTAAGTAAGGTAGCGCCACCTGGCGGTGACGCATGTAATTTAAAAGTTTTTATCACAAAATATATGGCCCTATAGCGCGTTCGCACCTCCAGATGCAGTATGAGGTCTTATGGACTAATTGCCTCTCTTACTAGTTTGCGTCATTCTTCGATAATACTATCGTTGTTTCTGATCTCATTGATGTCACATTGACATATGACTAAACTGAAGTATTAAAACAAAACATAATCTCCTTGCGCTGTCATTGTCACGTTTGGCAAGCATGTATAGGTACTGTATGTCCATAAGCACCATACTGCATCTGGAGGTGCAAACGCGCTATAGCCTACATTTATAACAACATTTTTACAATTTTAAAATCTGCATTCGTTCCCGAGATGCTGTCCCATTCCTCGCTGAACACCCTGTATAATGCCTCGTATCTTGAATCATCCATAGGAAACTTAAATAAAATCTATCTTCCTGAGCTATCCGCCGTCATAAACATTGAAATATAAGACTTTGATCTCGTATCAAATCTAAATCTTACATCTTTTGCATCATGTTGTGTCTTGATCCCTCAGTCTCGAATTCCGAATTCAAGTTTAATCTTGAATGTTGAATCCTGAATTCCTTATTCCCAATCCGTAAATATTCAATTATGAATCATGCTTGCTCTTGGCTGTTGGGCGCTGACTGACTTTCGGTCCTGAAGCTCTAAACCATAAGTATAACATTATAATCATAAGCATAACCCCTGAACACTACCCGTAATCATGAATCTTAAGCATTTAACCCGGAGTCCTGAATCTGAATAAAATTGATTGTTGAACTCAAATGTCAGAGAAGAGGACTCAAACTTGATGTCATACATTGTCCAAGATTAAGAATTAAGAATACGTATACGTTTTAAAATTTATGGTGGATGACTCAGGATGAAATTCTAGTAATGTTTACTTACAACCAGGTGTCAAATTCTTGACAGAATAGCTTCCTAGCTGAAACCAAAAATTGCCAACATATGTACGCACTTACAGACGGGAAAAATTTATTCTTTAAAAGTTGCTTAAACGTCAACATTCTCAGAAAATTGCCAACAAACGTACGTACGTACATACAGACGGAAAAAATAAGAAAGGTGCATTTTTTACGCATGCATTTTGTTTGCTTTTATTAGAGGGACCTACCATCCAATTTTCGTTAAAATTGCTCCATAAATAAGAAAGTTGGATGTTGCACATGCGCAACTCGATTTTTTGCGCATGCATTTTGTTTTCTTTTATTAGGAGGACCTACCATCCAAATTTCGTTTTAATTGTTCCATAAATAAGAAAATTGCATTTCTGCGCATGCGCAACACGATTTTTGCGCATGAATTTTGTTTACTTTTATTAAAGGGACTTACCATAGAAATTTCGTTTAAATTGCTTCAGAAACAAGATCGTTGCGTTTTGCACATATGCAACACAATTTTTTGACTTTGACAATTTTTTCTCCGTTTTTTGATAATATAACCCGGCCCAATTTTTTGTAGGTTGTACACAGGAAAATAAGGTCTTCCAAATAATAGAATAAAAATTTTAGGTTGCTATTTGAAAAAAAAAGTTCGATGCCGTTACGGCGCTCCAAAATTTTTTTTCAAAAATCCGGCCCGTTATTTTTCTGTTCGGTATGCCTAAAACATATATACAAAATTTCAACAAAATCCGTCGAGCCGTTTTCTCAGAAAATTGCCAACAAACGTACGTACGTACGTACGTACGTACGTACGTACGACGGAAAAAAATTTTATTCTTTAAAAGTTGCTTAAAATGGTCTAAAACGTCGACATTTGATGAAATTTTGAAATGTTCAAAAAACGGCTATCGCAATAGCTACCTAGCACATGCTAGGAGCTAAAAAAACTGAATGCAGAGACCGTAGGAAGCGTTATGTTCTCAAAACGATATAGACAGCTTTCCTCTTCTTCTGGTCGTGCGGTTCCGAAATCGGCGGGCCACTGACGCCGATCCCTACTTTAGCGAGGTACTTTTGTTAGGACTTTTCTAGGCGCCACTGCGGTAGAGTCGATTAGGTGAACACGCGTAAGGTGCTTACTTTCCGCGGCAAGCAGAACTATTTCTATTTGGCGGGAATATTAAAATTTCTTGCGCGGCAAACGTGTGTAATACCGATCCACTATGTGCTACAATGGTCCAGTGGCAAGGAAATTCGGCTTGCAACCGGGCAGCTCGGGTTCGATTCTTTGTGTGATCAGTTTTTTTAATATTTTTTTTCACAAAAATGGGCATCCCAATTTAAGGGAGTTGGACATTAGTTTTAAGATTGTTATCAATTTATGTCACTGCATTTAAAACTAAGATAGTAAAATAAAGTAAATAACATATTGAAGCTGTTTATTTAATTATATAACCACAGATATTGTAAACTCTCGTAACATACCTACCTACTTATGTACAATAAAATTCTGTGATAGTTACGCATGTGGATAACATACAAAAATCATCACTTACGAGTAAATTCAACGAATATAGTACAAATACAAAAGAATTACAGTTATACGAATTTTACGCAATTAAAAAATAAAGATATTAGGATCATATGTTGAGCTGACAAAAAATAATGAGATTATATAAATGGACCTAATTAAAGTTCACAGTGTGATATAACTTTCAATAAACATTAATTACAAACTCCCGTTACAGTTTTGCGAAAATTTAAGGCTCTGTCCGCGTGGTTGATCGAAGCTAATGTATTTACAAAACGCGCCCCCTTCTGTAAAGGAGAAGCAAAGTTGCACGATTGGGGTGTTAGGACTACTCCATTAAGTTTAGCGTACTGTTTGTTTTTCTGAGATGCGCTCTCCAGGGGATTATAGTCGTTTGCTCATCGTCTGAAAATTCCTCGTTGCGGGTTGAAGGAATTACGTCCGGCATATTCTCTTCCTTGCAGTTGTTGTTTAAATCCTCACTTTCTGGTTGGTGCTGTCTCAGGCACTCGACTGCATCGTGCACTTTGTGACATTTGGAGTCGTCCACTACTTTCGGGGTGTATATCGTCGACCTAGAATAAGAGACTATTAATTACGTACTATTGGCATAACTGGTCTCACTTCATCTTGTTTTCTGCTTCCTCTTTTTTGGCAATAAGCTGCCGTTTCCACTGCGGAATCGCCTGCAGCCGTTTCTTCTCCGCTTCTTTTTGTATTTGCTCCTCCAGTTCTTTGCGCGCCTTTTCCGCGGCCTTCTTCGCCAACATCTGACGTTTCCACGCCGGTATAACGTTGCCCGTGTTGTCCTTGTCGGGAATCTAAAAGTGCGAATTACCGAAAGGCTTGGGGGCGGATCAACGTACCTTTTCGACGAAGTTATTCACGGTGAATTGCTTGCTTATCTCTGTGAAGACTTCCTTTTCTTGTCGTTCTTCAACCTTCGCTCTTTCGATTTTCATCTTTTTGATGCCGGTGATGTCCTTGGATAGTTTCAGTTCGGCTATCAAGTCGGTTTTTTGATTCAGGTAGGATTCGCTTTGGAGGCACTGAAGGCTGACGCTCCTTGTGGGCGCCGACAGTGTTTTCGATGCGATCATCTTGTCGGTTCTTCGTAACTGCACGGAGTTTAGATCCTGGATGCTTATGGAAGAAAGCGGCTGCTGCTGTTTCTTTATAGCATCACACGGCACTTCGGGCGAGATTGACTTTGATGGTATTTGAGAGATGTCGTGCATGGGTTCTGGGAGCGGAGGCGGCGGCGGGCCAGAGGCGAGGTCCCTTTTCACTTCAATCGCTAACAGTGAGGGATCTTCATAGTCGTACACGCCACGCATCGAAGATCCACATGAACGTTTGTCACTAATACTCCTTAAATATTCCGACGGCTTTATCAGATTATTCGAATTGCAGCTGCCGGGGAAACTGGGCGGAATAAACGGCAGCACACGCTGTTTATTTACAAGATTCGGCAAGTGTTTGTCTGCGTTTTCTTCACACTCAGTACTGAGACTAATTATGGTTAAATCCGAGCAGGAGGAGGAATTGTGCCTTCTCGATGCTAAAAAAGAGAGAGGAAATTATAAAACATTTGTTAAACACCACATATGCTTTAACGTTATCTTTCTTTTATACGCGTCAATAATATTCTAGAGGAAGATGGAGTCATTTTCTAGTTAATTTTTAACATTAATTACGTTAAGGTTTAATTACCAAGTGTTATAAGTGAAACGATCTATATAGATTCTGCCGTTAATTAAATCAACTTTATACCAATGTCTCTGTATCGAAGATTTCACGACCAAACCGGTGCTAATCGACCAGTTCGGTCGTACCATAATTTCCCATTATTTAAATTAGGTACCAAAAGATCGACCATAGTACAAAATTTGAAAAAAAAAGATGATAAACAGTTCCGGCCAGAGAACGAATTGTGTCGTACATTCTGGTCATTACAACTGGGGCGTGATCAAAATCAAATGGTGTTAAAATAAATGCATTTAGCTCAAAAATTGAAATGACGCAATTGATCTTTCCAAAAAACTTCGGCAGAAGCGTGTAAATAACCACGCATGGTCTAGTTATCCCAGTTGATGAGGAAACGAGGTATAACTTGTTCCGCTAGACCGTTTAAACAGGACGGTGACATTACTTTTATTTCTACGTTTGTACTTTTTTATGATTAAGTCGTTTCTTACAGTTATACATTCATGCATTTTTCTGTATTTTAAAACCCGTACCTACGATCAATGCACTTTCGTTATAATTAAATGTGAACCGTGTATCGGGTGGAAAAAGCGTTTAAAATCGCAATAAAAAATAAATTTATTTTATAGCATATGTTAAATTGACATTCTATTTCAAATGTGACGCGGAGCACGATATAAAATGACGCTCAGAACATATGATAATCCTGTTTCTACGCAAATGACCGCGACGGTGAAATAGTTTACCACCTAACTCATTTAAACAATATTTATTAATAAATACATGAGGTATCTATCCATCTATTGACAATCTAATATTCAATGAATAAATAATGGTCAGTGGCGTTTCGAGCCTTATGTAATTGGGGGGGCACCAGGTGTAAAAAATGCCGACTATATGTCAAATATTCAACGACTTGTTTTTTCTTTGTCAATTAATAGCGATAAGTTGCTTTCGGATAACGTATAAATGAACAAAATCATGAAAACTATAAACGCTGATTCAAATTCGAAGGCCACCATGGGGATCTCGGGAACTGTAAGAGATCGGTAGGTAGTTTAAAATTGGCAAAGTTGCGTATTTTAATGGTTAATAAATGCAGTTTTGAAACTGAAAAAATTCCGACTACTTTCGGAGATATCCGGAAAACAATTACATTTTGCAAAATCGTTTTTATTTTTTATTGAAGCTATTTAAAAAGATATTTCAAAATAAATAACACACTTTCTTCCCTCTACAAGATGCTAGTTTTAAATTTTAAATCCGACGTTTCGTCACCGGTTAACCATCATCAACTTTGTTTTTTTCTTATGCGAGTAATTTTGAGTTTTTGTGTCATTTGATAGAGAACCTGTTTCTGATTTAAATTTTTTGAATATTGTTAAAATATCTTTTTTTTTACTAGAAAATTTTGTCTTGGGTAGTGTACGTAAGTAGTTTCTTGCCTCTAATTAATAGCGCTATTTCTGATTAAAAAATAGTGATGTTTAACCTTTTGAAAACAGAAAAAAATTCTCTATCAAATGACACAAAAAGTAGAAATTGCTTCTATAAGAAAAAACAAAGTTGATGATGGTTAGCCGGCAGACGAAACGTCAAAATTAAAATTTAAAAGTAGAATCTTGTAGAGGGAAAAAAAGTGACCATAATAATGTGTAATTTATTTCGAAATATCTTTTTCAATAACTTCAGTAAAAAATAAAAACGATTTTGCAAAATTTGCATTTTGTTAAGCATCAAAATACACAACTTTGCCAAATTTAAACTATATATACCTATCTCTCACTGATTTTAATTTGAACGCAACTTTTGAAATCGTTTCAAAAAATCAAAACTGTCACTCTTTACGGAAGCATCTATCTAGAAGAATCTGCAGTAATTTTAAATTGTGAGATTGTTGTTGAAAATAATTTTATACACATGTAGGTATGAATTTTTGGAAAGCTTATATTATATTTATGTCAAATAAATAGAAAACATCATATATAAAGTTTTTGTGCGGTTAAAAAGTATGTAAAGTGCAAGATATCTACCTCACAAAAGGGCCCAAATTGGATATCTATTGAAGATTGAATCCCGCGGCTTGAGTTCTGGCTTAGGTAAAACCAGGCTCAAATTTCTAATTAATACAAAATGTGATTGGTGCATTTTTGCAATTTAACCAATCAACTTTTATTTTTAAACCTAAAATATTTGTATGAAAAAACATTTTCTTGTCCTTTTAAAAGCAGTTTCATTTAGCATCTCCAACCCGACACCCCCCCCCCCCACTCTTCGGAACGCCGCTGATAATGGTTGGATATACAAACTATACAGAGTGACGAATCGAAAACGAAGAGTGAACGATCCTAACTAATTTTCTTCATTCTTTAGCGAAGTACATATATGTGTGAATCGGATTCAATTGTATTCAAATAACAATTGTACGAGATTCATGAGAATTTTCTGATACACGTTTTTCTTCCAACATTCCAATGCTCTCACGTATTATGTTTCCCTGAATCACTTCCATACACACTTTAACAAGTATAAATTGTGCACAACTCTTGTGCAGATAAAGCGCATTTTTTTAAACCGAAATAGCTTTTGTTTTGACATCCCCAATGGATATATTTCTTGCAGACGTCTCAATCGCCTTTTGTGAATACCCTCTTCCGACAATCCGTTCTGGAGGTATAAGGGAATATACCCGATCACGATAAGAGGTCGAGGAGGAGGGCTATGGTTGGTAGAAATTAATTCCTTTCGTTGAGACCTTTCAATAGATTACCATGAAGGATAAACTAGTTCCACTCCCTCCTCCCCCTCCACCCTGTACTTGGATAAGAGGACAGAAAGAAGGGCAGTATTTGGTAGAAAACGGTTCCTTTCGTTGAGACCTTTAATTAGAATACAATGAGAGATAAAATTAATTTTTAACCCCCCCTCAGGCTCCGTTGCTCACTGATCTCGAAAAAGAGTCGCACGTGAAAGTTATAGTTTGTATAAATCAATTTATTTCGATGAGACCTTTCATTAGGATACCATGAAGGGTAGAACATGTGTTTACCCCCTCCCCTCCGCCATTTTCTAAAGTTTAACTTGGCACCATTAAAGGCATGCGTATGCAAAATCTGAGACCAATTGGTTGTCGTATGTAAAAGTTATGCATGTATTATTTCAAAAACAGCATCTCAGGAAATAATTCGTAGGGGGGAGGGGGGCCCTTTTAGACAGCGAAATTTAACGGCCGTCTGGCATACCTTCAATACATATATAGGCTAGGCTACCTACTGCAAAAAATTCCAGGACTCTAGGACCATCCCCCAGTAGTTCGAAACGGAAGAAATGGGTCCGCACGAACGGACAAAACGCAACAATACCACATTTTCTTTAATTCTTAAAAAATGCGCTCTTTTATAAATATATTTTATAAAATGCGATCTTTTATATTCATAAACAATGAGAAAGATAAATATATTTTCTTTTAGGAACGCACAGGTAGCCATTTTGTCATCTACTTGCCTAAAAGATCTCCCATTACACTTTTCCCAATTTGTCTTTAAAAAATGTTTAATCAGCTGCAAAGACACGCAGGAAGGTGTCAAACTTATTGACATGTTCTCCTGATACAGATTGTACAGAGTCGCAAGAATTGAGGGTGTAAAATTCATTCACAAACACCTTCTCTCGTGTTTTGTTCTTCTGGTAGACATTTCTCTTTAAATATTTCTGTACAGCACTACGAGAATTTAAAAAAAGATTTATTGACGGCGACCATATCACGTATGATATTCTCCTGATCACTAAACCCCTGTTATATCAGAATCACAAAACCCTTCAAAAAGGAATTAATTTATTGACAGGCACAGTATATTACCTACTTAATTAGTATTCCTGCCAGTAAATTAATGGATCAGGAACACGGAAATGCAAGCTGTAAAATTGCCTTATTTTTATCTTCTTATATTCTGCTGGCAAAAATTCTTCTTTTAAATAAGTTTGTATCAGATTCGCAAGGATTGAAGATGTAGGTAAATACTTCAGATGATAAGTTTCAGGATATAATTAGCAAATTATAAATAGCAAATTACAAATGGTTATACATATACTGAAGATCACCTTATATCCATCAGAAGTAAATTAAATGGTACCTAACTTGCAGAATTAAAATTTTAAATTTAATGGCAGATACTGTGATGTAACAAATCTTGACAATTTTTATATTTGCTTTTATGCATGTCATTAAAGGAAAAAAACGAAAGCTACGCCACTGGAAATGACGAGGGCTCGTGAACGGGTGCGCATCATGCTTTCTTACTCGAGCTAAAAGGAGAAAGCTGCGAAGTTTTTTTGTGGAAAAAGCGAGGGAAAAGCAAAGAACGTAGATAGTTTTTGGTTCTATGTGTTTGATTCGCAAATATAGCAGAATATATCCTTTATTTTCCTTTGTAATTACTGTAATTAGCACTTGGCATTAGGTACTTGCTTCTCGAGTTTTTAGTGTTTGCTTTTATAAATTTGAATTTGCAAGGCCTTGCGAAATGTTCGTAAAATAAGTTAACAATTGAGGTATGGACCGTATTTCCCGTACGGTAGAGGCATCATCTGGCGCGTCCCCGGGTGGCGGATAGGGGAACTCCCATACAGACACCTGAATGATCATAACGTGACTCGTAGCGACAGTTATAAGTGGCTCGTCGGGGCTAAAACCCAAACTGGTTGTGACGAAGGTCGTCGCCGCGGACCAACCCCCCAAGTCAAGGTGTTAGCGACCGTACCGAGAACTTGCGTGGTACTAGAGTGCAGTGCCGAGAACGGTGCCCCATACCGAGCGACCTCCGGGAGGTGGACCTTTTTCTTCGGGAAGGGGTCTGGGCAAGCGGCTCTGCCCAAGTGAGCCCGCATTTTCTCACTACTCGTGGGAACTGTATGGGTCATTATTTAAACAAACCCTTTCTGGGCTGCTCCGCGTCGAAGGGGACCAACAAGGCTTCTATTCGCAAAAGGAATAAGCCCAAAAGGTGATGGCCTTCAGAGACGTGGATACACTCCAGCGGCAGAATTTTCAAACACACGCGGGGGTTTCGGGCGTCACTTTTGTGACGAAAGCGAGTGCACCGACTGAGCCAAGTAAGGGAGAAAGCTCCACCGGAGCAGCGGGACCCAGTGCCGTTGGGACGGAGGGGGTTCAATCCCTCGTTATCGACCTCAAAGAGGCGTCGGGATTACTACCGGCGCCCTCAGAGGTCGAGAAAGATGTCGTACGGGATGAAACCTATTCTAAAGTACAATTGTGAAATGCAAATTGGTGAAGAAGTGACAAAGTGAGTGCATATCCTGGAAAGTTTTCGGTAGTTCTTTTTTTCTTCCATGTAATGAAGGAAGTCCCTAGAGCTACTCTCATGCGATTAAGAGAGGACAACCCTGATTTGAATTTGATTGTTTTCGTTATCAACGTTTTCATTAAATTCGACTCACCATTTTTGGCGTTTTATTTATGTTTGCCGACCCTTAGCGCGACACATGCACACACATCTTCGAGCACTTCGTTTCACAACACAACGTAGGTCCAATCGCTAGAGAGGTTTGTTACGTGACGATCAGGTGCCAATGGGTTTCAGTTACTTAGTTTTGGTGGGAGTTTTCGTTTTGAGTCACCAATTATATTTTCCTGAATTTCGAAAAACATTTTCCTAGCTTGTTTTAAAAAAGCTTATTTTACCAAAAAAGTACAAGATGGTGTCAAGTTATTGGCAGACAATATGTTCTCTTTACAACTCCCAACCTGGACATGACAGCAAGACTTAGAAATTCAAAACTTGTACAATAGAGCATTATATAAGGAGGCGTCCTGTGAATAAATTGCGTAAATCATGAATTTTAAAAGGAATTTTGTACCAGGGGATCAAAACACAATCGAATTCAGTGAATAACAAGTTTGGTTAATAAAAAACGACAAAAAAAATGTAGAACGATTCCTCACTTCCCTTTGGGGATACTGTAACGGTAGTTACAAAACCAAGATCTGGTTCCGAAGATTCATTCGTACTAGCTTAACTACGTTTCATATCCTTCATATTAGTTTGTTTACCGACATATAGGTAATTGTTTTTGAATTGTAAATTGATTAAAGTTACTATTATTTTCTCATTGCCCGTTTGTAACGACAACTCGTTGTCGAGTCACATTTGTTTCTGTTTTGTTAACGTAAAATTATATATTGGTTCTTATTGAGTGTTAATTAAGGTTTTAGTAGTGTCAAACGTTACACATTGCTATCGCAATATTTATGTGCCCGCGCTATTCACTATCCCCTCTTGTTCTTTTTGTTTGTGTTTTTATCTATTACAGGTACGACAGGAAAGCGCCCTTTTGTGCTCGGGAAGGTTGCGCAGCTTACGTTTGTCGACCCCTTTTAATAACGTTTTTAACATTGGCTTGCGATACTGCCAGTTGTAATTAATATTTTTATTTGATTAGTCATTTAACAGTAGCTTCATTTGTTGCAGAAGCCTATTTCGACCTTTATCTCGTATTTCCCTAAATTATCCGGTTTACTATACTTCTTTTTGTGTCGTTTTGGTTAGTGTACGAGAACCCATTACCCCCAGACCCATCTCTAATTTGCCTGCGCTTATCGTGCGTTTATATAATAGTATATTAAGATACAAGTGTATAATCAAGTCTTTAAAGCACGCGCAACGAGTTTAAGGGCACGACGCAAAGCGGAGTGCCTTTAACGTTGCAAGTGCTTTAAAGACCAATTATACACGTGTATCTTATAGTATTTTTTATTATACCTGCAGTATAATTTAAAAATAGGGAATACAATGAAGTCATATTGACGTTATACTCGAATACGTGTCTAATTAAGTGGGCTGGGTGTTCGTAATTTCACGATTGCCATGGAAATGTCACTTGACGTTTGCTTATAAAAATCATCGTCTTTGTGAATTAAACGATTTCCGTTGAAAAAGATAATACACCGCCCATTAAATCGATTGTTGTAAAATCTAAACAAACGTTGGTAGGTGTAAAATCCAACTCCAGTAAAGCCTATTATAAAGAATATGAAAAGTTGTTTCCATGGATGAATAGGAAGTTACTTACGAATACAGTCTTAAATGCATCCATAATGCTGGCATATATGAAGGAAATGTCAAAGGTATTTAAATCTTCTATATTTTGGTGCATTCATTCAAAACTTTAAAGCAATGCTGCGATTAAAAAGTGGAACAGATTTGGAAGCATACCCTAAATTACGCGCGTTTGTGAAAGCTTCAACCAAAGGATAGGTACAAAAGCCAAAGAAATGTTCTGCATTTACAGAAAGCGACCTAAGAGGATTTTTTATTTCATCCAGATGACAGTTTCAAAAGTCATACTTGAAGTATCGTTACTTAGCAACTTTAAAGCACGTGTGTTTTAAAGGCCCTTTTTCGCACGCATTTGAGTGTTTAAAACGGAGATTGTGATTCAGGTATAATAAAAAGGTAATTCTGTTGCGTTTGGTCAAAATGAATGTAACTATCTTTAATTCGCGCTTTTAAACTGTACACACTCAATTCGATACCGTAGGCACAAGAAATGTCTCCAAAAGTAATACATGATCTTGACTATTAGTGTCTCACACCATATAACACCATCCTGTGTTGATTTACCGGTAGTTAACTTGACCCTGTCTCACTTCTAGAGGCGTGAATTCTCTTTTTACTAGTAAAACACACCCTACCGCAATTTACAGGGGGTTGACTTAACGTCCCTCGTGGTTTAACGAACACTCGAACACAAAAATAAAATTCACCCGACGGTAATTTTCAGGTGGTTGACTCAACTTAGCTAACCGCTCGACGCGACGAATTTTCACAAAATAAAATCTACCTGTCCTAATTTACAGATGTGTCAGGAAACGCTTGCGTTTCTGTGCCCCTGATACAATCATTTTTATCAAGACTATACGGGAGTCTGTTATTTATAATTAATACCTTCTTGAATGTTTTGTGATTAAGACTATAACATATGAAATGGGGGGATAAGGGACCACAGATACGAAAAGGGATTAATGATTTTTTCAATAACACCTCTTGAAATTTTAAAATTCCGTGATTTAAAACTAATTAAGCCACGTGTAGCTGTCTGTTACATTATACGCGATTCAAATAATAATGTAGTTTTAAGGTGCTAAAAACAAAGGTTGATGTACCTCCAAATAAATCGTCAATAAAAAAAAAAAAGATAAACTCTTCCTCTCCCTTTTTTTACGAAATATTCAGGTACACAAATTAAAATAAATCATCTCCCTATAATTTCCAAAATATAATAATATTGGACCTATCGTAGAACCTTTGGTGACATTTTACAGGATCCGCACTAAGAAATACGTAAAAAATACTTACACAATACGGACATACTCCTACACATCCCCTTAATAATTTCGGAAGGTTTCAATGTTGGTTCTTCAACAACTTCCACAATTTCCGCCCCGGTTGGTTCATCGTACACATTCGTCGAGTTCGCCGGCAACGGCGGTGGCGGAGGCGGTGGACTAGTTCCCTCAACGGGCACCGAAATGTTCCTCTTCAGCAATCGGGAGTTAGCGCAGCCGTTTTTCGAAGGAAGCGAATGTCTTGCGCCAAGTTTAGTTTTTCCTCCATCATCCTCGGAACTCAGAGTCGACGGTGTGGAAGATAAACTGTTACCGCTCGAATCCTTCTTGAGCGTCCTCTTCTCGTACTTCTGCGGCTTCGGTAGAAACTCGTTCGTCTTCTTACCCTCCTTTTTCTTGACGTCCTTCGTCGGCGTCAGCTTAACGATCACGTTACACGCCGAGTTCGAGGAGCTCGTCGAGCCCGAGCGACTGTGCGAGCCCGAATCTCGCGAACGCGAGCGCGTGTTCGTCCTCGTCTCGGTTTTCTTCTCGGCTTCCTCGTGTATCAAATAGATGTCCTCGTAGTCGTGATCGTGGTCGCCCGACCTTTCCGAAAGTTCCGACGACGACAGATTCTCGTCTGACCCCGCTCCACTGCTACTGGAGTGCACTTCCACTTTAACTGTAAGTTGAAGATCGAGCATGTTACATTTGCGTATGTCTTTACATATGAAGTTCATTAGAGCGACTGATTCCGAAATAATGTATTCATTACGAAACAAAATAATAAACAAATATAGGATGGTGGGATATGCGGAAGGTGCTAGTAATACGTACTTAAATAGAAATTTCTTTTTTAGAGAGTTCATCAATAAATCGTTAATTGCATGCGGAATTGTTATTTGTAATTATAACAAAAGAAAAGTGTATTGTGTAGATTCTGTAGGTAGGCCTTTTCACTTCTATATTCCCGAAACATTTAAGCAATACCAAAGAGTACTGTGGCAATACTGCCATCGCATTGTTTTTCTTTAAAAAAAGCAAGTACGATAAATCGCGTGATTTTGTCGTAATGCTCCACCGTACATGTCTATAAATAGTTTGCTTCATACATTTTCGGTATTAGATTTAGATGGCACAATTCTTGGTGAAGCTATTGTAATTGTGATTCTTGTTTCATTTGGGAATAATTAGCGTATTTAGACAGCTATTGTTGCACGAAACAAGCTAATTCATTTTTAAGATGAAATCGAAATAACGGTCGTGACAAATTCGTATACCTACATGGTGTTGTTTAGATTTGTAAATTAACCAATGTTTTACTCCCGATAAAGATTAAAGAAACCATACATATTTAAACATTAATACACATTGAGATTCTTAAACATGCACATTTAGAAATTTTTATTAGATTTTTTTAAGACGAAACAATTCTCGTCATTGCACTATCGACACCCCGAGTGAGGTTCTCGCGTGACTCGAATTGCACGATAAAAAACGCTCTTGGAGCGCCAATAGTGCCGTTTTGCATATATTTCCAGGCATAGAAGGTGCTTTAAAATCAAGCCGGAAAATTCTTGAAGAAGAATAAATCAATAGTGGAAGTGGTGTTTCCTTAAATACGAAGACAACCAGAAAACGAGCAGTCAGCCCTATTTATGTCACAAACCTTGCACGACCAAGTATTTAGATTATTAACAAAAAAAAACGATTAGTAATTTTAGGATTCCTTATTTTACTTGTCGACCGACTTGAGTGCGCGAAGTGCGAGTGCGTATTTAGTCGTTGTCAATCAATTAATTGTGTGTAGGTACGTGTTTATTGCGTTTTCATGTCAGATTGCCCAAGAATTATGTCAGGTTGTGTCTAGGTACTTGTATCGATCCACCTGCTGCAGTTTCTCCCCTCTTACGCAGATTACTACATCTTATTCTTCGCCTATACTCATTTCAGAAAAGAGAAGGAATTCTTCAAGGACCCCTACAGCAACACAGAGCGGCGGCAGCGACATGGAAGAAGAAGAAGAAGAAACAAGATTGGAAAATAATGACAAAACTAATGTGAGAAGTGAAAAAGTGTGGCTACGGCTGCTTCAAGTGGTGATTAAAATATTACTACTACCAGATAAAGGCAGCAAAAGATACCAAAGAAAAGATGATGGAGTGACAGAGAGAAATATAGCGGAGGGACAAAGGAGAAAGTAAAAGAAAAGAAAATGGGAACATAGGATGCCTTGTCAATTGTGGTTAAATGTCAATTGACAGTAAGGATCAATTTAAAGATACTAAGCGTCAATTGACAGACTATGTCAAGATTCTGTCGTTTGGCAAAGATAGATTGATACTTAGCACATCGAACGATAGATCATAAGTATAAATTGACAGATACTTCCCTTAATTACTAGATGCCATTTTGAAGGGGCGTTAATATTAATTCAAAGAAGATAGGTAGGGATTAATCTGGAGACATTTTTTGAAAGCATTACGGGTCGAGCCGCGCTAGAGCTCCTGACTAATTTGCTAATAATCAAGTCGTAAAAAAATTCATTAACGTGTTAAGTGCGTGGTCTAAAGTAAAATTGTTTTTTCCAAGAGATTTTGCGTCCGACTAAAAAAGACGCCGGCCACCGCGAACAAATTCGCTCGAGAGTAGTCAAGGAGAAACACTTAGAGTCAAATAAAAAAGTTCGAACTACAAGCCAAGGTGTTATTTCGGGCATTTCTTTAAAATGAGAATTTTCCCGCAACTCTTCCGCGACTTTCACGGGTGAAAAAGCATAAAACCATTAAATAAATTAAGGCAGCCAGATTCGGTCAAGGACAAATTAATTAAACGTGCCGGTGCTTTACCACAAGCAGGATTATTGTTAAGGTTAGTACCAAGCTTTTTTTGCTGCAAACGAAACAAAAAGGGATTCACCTTTGTCGTTAGCACTCGTGACAACATTTTTTTAAACGCACGTAGTGCAAAAATATCAATGAAAGTAGGGTGACCGATTTTGCTTGGTGAAAGTTTGTCCCTTTGCATAAGTTTCAAAGTGTTCAAAACCGTTAAATTTCGCTAGGGGCCCACATTGCTATAAGTTTGCTAGCCGAACGTATACAGGGTGGTCAAATGATAGGCTTAATATTTTAAAAATTTAAAATTAAACTAAAATTTCTTTTCTACACAGTATATTGGTTTTCATGGCGATAACAATTGCTTTATTGTTACTAGGAATTAGTTTTTTTATTATACTTCATTGAAATCAGCTTATTTACACCTGTATTAGAAATAATGGTATCTGGCCTTTTCCAGGCTAGCGCACGGAAAAACTTTTCCCGATCCCTTTGATTCTTTCCGTGCGCTGAATATAAATACCCAAAATATTGCTTTAAAATACAAATTTACAGGGAAGTAAACTAATTTTCAGAAAATCTATATGCGTTGTAATGTTTCATATGTAAGTATTTTGCGTTTTAATTCGTAGATGTTTGAATATTTAGATAAACTTCTTTGAGAATTTGTGACATTTTTTGACGTTTCGTCAACCTTATCTGAAATAAACTAATTAAACAAATCGCCTTTGAAATGATTTGAGAGTAACCATGAAAACGCATGTTCTATAACTGTTACAAAATAAAAATGTTAGCGAGTTTGTTGTTTTTTATTTTATCGATTTAAAAGAAGTATAATAAAAAATATCGTTCATTACACGTCCAGAAATGCTTTTTCCGTGCTTGCATGACTTCCCGTGTTCGGCTACGCCTCAGGGAATTTGCCACGCGCGCACGGAAAAAGCCTGCTTTCCGGACTCCTAATGAAATATGCTATTACGTGCTTGAAACTGCAGAATCAGCCTGAAAAGTTGCAGAAAAAATAAATGCGTGGGATTGTGATGAACGACCTAAATCGCGTGTAATTGGAAGGGGGGGAGGGGGAGTTTAGCGATTCCGATTTGCTATTAAAAAAGATGGCCCTCTTACTTACTAAGCGCTATTTTGAAGGTGCGTTCATTAAGTCAAAGACGATAGGTACGGATTAACCTGGAAACATTTTTTCGAACGCATTACGGGTTGAGTCGCGTTGGAGCTCGATTTTAATTTGGGAATAATCAAGCGGTAAAAAATTCACTACCGTGATAAGTAAAGTTGGTTTTTCCAAGAGATTTGGCCATCGACTGAAAAAGAGGTAAGCGCGTCGGTCGCCGCGAAAGAAGTCGTTCGGGAGTAACCAAGGTGAAAAATTTTGTTTTTGTCCCTTGGAGTAAAATCATAAAAAGTTCTAACTACGAGCAAAAGCGCTGTTTTAAAGCAAGGATTTTCCCACACTCCGCGAGTTGAAAACGCATAAAAACAGGAAGCAAATTAATTAAACGTGTCAGTGGTATCAAAGCCAAAAGGGCGTGCCAGTAAAAGAAAAATAATCACTCAACGTCGAATAAATTAAGTCAAATTCGGTTAAGCACAAATTAATTAAATGTGCCAGTATATTCTTCGCCACAAAGGATTATTGTTAACGTTTGTAACCTTTGTCGTTAGATTGAAACCCAGGTGCAAAAATACCAATAAAAGTAAGGTGCACGATTTTGCTTGGTGAAAGCTTTTCCTTTTATTGAAGTTTCAAAGTGTTCAGAACCATTAAAATAGTGACATTTTGCAGTCGAAAAAATCATTAGGAACAAACTGCCGTTCAAGAAGGCATACAATCTATAGAAGTCCGGTTACCTGTCGCTATGATTGCAAGTTCTCGAAATATTGTCTCTGCAAAGTGAGCCGTAACAAGTCTGTTTTGTATGAAAATCATCGTAATTTTGATATGAGGTATAGTGACTTTAGTTTATGTAAAATAAAGGGTTGCTCATCTTTTCATAAACAATATTCGATTTGTTGTAATCTTTCATTGTAAAGAAAAACTTGCATTTGTTTTTTTCTTAAAGATACCAACCTCTGGGCCAATTGAATCCGTTTGTATTAAATAGATTTTGCCATTTATGAAACGGGATTTGCTAAAAAATTAGTTTTTCATTTACAGTTCAAGGAAGAAAATATCCGTATAAATGGGTTCGATTTGATTAGCCACATCTACCTGTGGACCACTGTCTTGCAGAAAAGATTCAAGTTCGCAATAGTGAATTCAATCATTCAATTCAAATGAGGGTTAATTAACCCCCTTATTTGCAAAAACCCTATTGCATTTGTGACAAATGTACTATTAACAAAAAAACATAATAGGGTCTAGTACACATAGGTATAATGTAACTATCTATCAATTAATTGACTTAAAATCCTATTAAGGTATATTACGTGTCAGTGGGCAAATATTGTCAAGATACTGACAGTTGACAAGTGTCAATTGACACTAATAAAATGACAGATTGTGACAATAATTCCCTGCCTAATAAAGATAGAACTAGGAAGGACTAAAACTAACTAAGTACCTACTTGACAATTGACACTTAGCACCTTTTGTCAATTGATTGACAGCGAGGATCAGTTTAAAAATACCAAGGGTCGACTGACAGACTATATCAAATGTGACAATTGAGTGTCATGTGTTTCCGAGCTTACTGAACGTACTAATTTGCTCAATAGTAGTAATTGAAGAACCTTGATTACATCTAATACCAATGTTAGTTTATCAGCACCGCACGAGGCGATGAGTACTCGTCTGCGAGGTTCGTGTGGTGATAGGTATCATTAAATGTATGTGAAATGTTCTCTGGCTTTCCCTCTCTCTTTCTTTCTTGACGCAGTTTAATGCTGTTGAGTTTGCACATGTGTCTTTTAAACTTCGCAAAAAAAACGGTATATTTACCTGTAAGGGCAGAGAGAGGTGGTGTACCATTGCTTGATTGTCCGGACGCCGAGTTCGGATCAAATAAATCTTTGACGCGATTATAAATGACTTCTTGGGGATTGTGAAGGTAGAACGAATCGCCGTTGATGCTATCACCTGAGCTATCGGAGCCGCTAGAAATACTATAAAACCCCCCTGTTAGCGGTGATCGGTTAAGTAAAGCGATCTACTTTACCTATGCCTATGGTTATTCATTGGATTTATGTAGAGACCATTTTGAGGTGCGTGTGGCGCCTCCAAGCTGCGACTTGCCAAAGGTGGGTGGAGATAGAACGGTTCCTGGTTATTATTATTACACCCCGAAGATTTACACGCGTTACAATCGCTATTGGAGGCACTCTGCAAAGTTCAATCTTTAAAAAAGCGCACGACGGATCTTAGACTTACCCTAGTTCTTTTCGTATCACCTTTGCGACTGCAGGAGCAGCCGTAAGTTCCGCTTCTCTCACTGTCTGCATAGTTCGGTGTCGTGCCGTGTTGGACCAAGACGTTTAAACACTAAAGTGAATATTAGAGAAGGTGACAGTGGGTATAACGAGACCTACCTCGACCTGCTGATTTTCGGCCGCGTCGTTAATGGGACTCTTCCCGTACTTGTCCAGCGACAATCTCGCCCCGTGCTTTAGAAGCCAGCGTACCGTTTCGAGGTGACCTCGCGACGCGGCGAAGTGGAGAGGCGTCGCTCCGTCGCCGTCGCGTAAATTTGGATCGACTCCTTGATCTTGAACCTGTAACGAATTGAATGTCGGTTTAAAGCGTTAATGTCTTAATAGAAAATGGATTTCTCGAAGAGATCTGCACTTTAAACGGCACTGAACACGACAACTTCACTTACATGGTTGAAGGAGACACTTAATGGTTCCAGTTTCTGTTAGAAATATCTCTTTTTTTGGTTATCATACCTTCGGTGGAAGTAAACGATAGATTTTCAACAGTGAAAGAGAATAACGGCTGTAAGAGTTACGGGATTTTGTTCAATACAGAAACGTACATCTGTTACCTGCTGGCTTTGTAATTGATATTGCCGTCAAGATTCTACGTACCAATAAAATTTGAGTTCATGTAGCCAACCATCAATCTTAAGTAATACCAAAGAATAAATACCTACTCTTTGTACGTGCTTACAAAACCTCTTAAAATCCTTGAAACTCACCGTGTAAAATAGCTGTAGATATATGAACTGTTTCTTCAATTTTTAGTAGTGTCATGGTCGTTTCAAAGTAAGAAAGTTATTAAAAAAAGCGTCTATTGATAAAAACCTCTATAATTAAAAACTTATGAAAAAAACTTAAAGTTTCCCACTACTTTGATGGAGAAAACTCAAAAATGATGTTAAAATGATATTCAAGATGGCGGTTACTGAAATTAACATCAACTAATTTTAAATGGATGCCATATTGCATAATGTAAGATGGTTTTCTATTGCCAAAGATGGAATATATGCATGTATATGATTGAATAATAAATATAAATAAAAAACTTTTTAGCGCATTTTTTAAGAATTAAAAAAAATGTGCTATTGTTTGCGTTTTGTCCGTCCGGACCCACTTCTGCCGTTTAGAACTACTTCTAGGCAGGGACCCGGACCCAAATGAAATATCGGTTCCGGTTCTGTTTATATTTAAGCGAAAATATTTATAACGGTTCCGGTCCGGTTTCGGTTCTAAAAAGAAATAACGGTTCGGTTCTGCGCATTTTTTTCGGTCCATAACGGTTATTTTCGGTTCTAGTTTTCCAGAAAGTATGGCATTCAAAAAATTCATTATAACAATGTGATTTGTTAATTAATAGGTGTGAAGAAAATGTCATGAATATCAAAACGAGACGTATCGTCAGTGTAGCTAATTTATAACGACAAGGGGAATAATGGAGGAAGAGGGAAATATGTTTTTACACTTAATTTATTACTAAAAAACAGAAAATTTTATTTTCTAAATCCTCGTCCCTCCTTTTTTATTTTTTTTTAAGTAGTGGCTAAATTAGCGCCACCGCCACCCGATATGCATTCAATTTGGACACCTTATTAAAAATGTATAATCCACCGATGGCAATCATAGAGTAATATTTTATCAATTTTCAGGACGTGGTTGCCGGCGTGTCCTTCAACTTCCAATAACCTGTTAAGAACCGTAACAAACCGAAAAGAACCGAAAAAAGTAATATGGGTTCCGGTTTTCAATACGTTTCCATTTCTGAAGTAATAACGGTTTCGGTCCGGTTTTCGGTTCTTTTTCGGTCCGGTCCGGGTCCCTGCTTCTAGGGGAATGGTCCTGGAATTTTTTGCAGTAGGTAGCCTATACCTTGAAGGTGTGCCAGACGGCCATCAAATTTCGCTGTCTAAAAGGCCCCCCCCCCCCACGAATTATTTCCTGAGTTGCTGTTTTTGAAAGTAAAACGTGCATAACTTTTACATACGACAACCATAGCCCTCCTCCTCGACCTCTTATCGTGATCAGGTATATTCCCTTATACCTCAAGAACGGATTGTCGGAAGACGGTACTCACAAAGGGCGATTGAGACGTCTGCAAGAAATATATCCATTGGTGATGTCAAAACAAAAGCTACAAATTAACAAAAAACAACGTCATCCACTTCTCACCTCCTCCTCCCCCCTAATCCAGCAGCACGATCCTACTGGTCCCTGTTATTTCCATCTTCGTGCAGTTCCATAACGTGTGTTCTATGTCTTCTTCTTCCTCTCGGCATATTCTAATTTTCGTTCTTCTTCTTGTTTCAACCTCTCTTTCCCCCTCTCTTTCCCCCTCTCTTCATTTTCACATCTGAATTTCGCTATTGTTTTAATATGTTTTGTTTCTTCCCTCGAATATTTTGGTAACTACTCCCTTATTAGCAGGTTATAGCTACTGATTCCGCGTGCGCTCTCTATATTCACCCTTTGTTGTTGTATTTGTGCATTCAGATCCATTTTTTCCAGCTCATTTTCCAGCTTTCCTCCCTACTCTTTGCTACGATGCTATCCTTATCTTTTACATTGTTGTTTTTTTCTTTGTAGGTACTCCTTCCAGTTCCTCCCGTTCCTTCCACCCCATATCTCCGTTTCGTACATGAGCTTTCTTGTACCAAAAACATTTTTGCGTGGTGAATTCGCGAGAGGGAGCTCTCTTCATTTCACCACCTCCTTTTTCCTTAATTCTGTTATCTGCGCATTTGCGCCATTGATTTGCATTTAGTGCCCTAAATATTTAAATTCTTTTACCTCTTCTATCCTTTTCTCCCCCCTTTTTCCTCTCACCCCCTATCACAAATATCATCATACCTATTTAACTTTTCTACATTTACCCAATATCTTTCTATTCTTCTCACCATTTCCTTTATCTGTTCTACCTCTGTGGCCATGATCACTGCGTCGCGTCGTCCGTGTATGTCGGGGGCCATATTATCTTCCTTCTCGCCACTACTATCCCTCCACCTTGACCCCGTCTTAATACTGTTCCGTGTCTCTTAAGTAGGGATTAAATAAGTTTGACCTAAGTGTCAGTCCTTTACATGTCCAAAACACTTCAGACTCCTTTCCTTCTATTCTCACCCCCAATTGTGTCCCTCTATATAGTTCTTTGATTCTATTATAGCAATTCCCTTATAGTTTGCCATACAAACTTTGTTCCCTCTTTTGAAGATCAGCACACTTACTCCTTCGGGTCCTTCCCGCCATTCTGCCTCTGTTTATCACCCTCCGAAAAACTTTTCTTTTTTCTCTCCCCTCCCCTTCAGCCCATTTGTTTCCACTTTATTGCTTTTTTAATAGGTACTCTTATTTACTGTATTCCACCCTTCCTCTGTATTTCCCCATATTTCTTCTCCTTGTTCATCTAGTCTCCCTCTATACAGATTCAACGGTGTCTGTTGTCTCTCTTTGCGTCTTTTCATTTTTTGATCTTCTTATGTTCCCCTTTAGACTCAATTTCATGGACTGTTGATGCGATTCTATCCTCGTTCCTATCTTAAATTCATCTATTTCTTCCGGTATTTTTCCATTTACTATTGCGTTATCCTAGGCGTTATCAGTTACCGACCTCACTCTTCCTCCCATGTATGAGAATTGCCCGTCCCTCTCGCCCTCCATATTTCCGTTTCATATTCTCCAAATTCTCTTTTTTGATAATTCCAGTAACACTTCACCCTATTCCTTACACCCTTTAACTCTTGAGTTTCTATCTTGGGTTCCTTTTCCCATTCCTGTTCTAGCATTAAAATCTTCTCCCGATATTAGTGCCTCCTCCCCCCTTTCATGTATCATACTCGTATTTTCTATTTTTTTAAACGCTTAATTCTTTCTCTGTTGTATATCGTTATCACTCCCATTTTCTTTCCCCCCACTTCCGCTCGTCTGACCTGTATTCCTTCCAACTCTATTATTTCACCCCTCCATTCCCTGATCCCGTTTTACCTGTGTTAATATACCATCTACCCTGCTACATTCCAGAACATCATCTTCATGTTGCCCTTCTCCATTTTTATTTTGTTTTTCTCTTTTCTTCTTTTATTGTGTCTGTACCCCCCTCCCCCTCTATCTTCAACTTTGCTATTAGTTTCTTCCTCCAAACCTTTTCCTTATAGGAGATAATTTAGTTTATTCCTTAATTAACATTTTGGAAATTAACCTCTTTTCATTTACAATCCACATGGGCGCAACGCATAATTGCGGCGCTCAGATTTTAGCTAAGCCCCCAATGACCGTGGGAGATACACTTAGGTCGTGGTGATTAGACCACACGCAAGTTTCATGAATTATAAAGGCGACGTGCAATTTATTAGGTATTTAATTCAATTAATGAATGTTAAATGAAAAGAAATTACTTTGATGCACTCTTGTGGTGAATTGGAACTTAACAGAATTAACGTTTGGCATATTTTGACAAACTTCATTTTACTATCGAATTTCCGAACTGATTACTTTGCATCTCCACGCCCTCTTTTTACACAAGTGCTTGATTTTGAAAATAACTATAAAGACAAAAATCATCTACGCCCTGCAACGGCTCGACCGTGAATATCCTTTTCGACACTCCTTTTTGTGAGTCAATATCCGCCTGCGACACCCCTGTTATCAAGCATCATTTTAAAAAATGAAATACAGGTTTTCGCCTTAAGGTGAGTAACTTGAGCGCATTTAGGCCATGTAACTGATTGTGGGTACAAAGGAAAATGGCATAAATATTCTTATAAATACGAAACTTAACATTTCGCAGTCTGTGCATGAGCACACCTGATGGTGAAAGCATTCGATATGTTTGCCTTTACTGGACGTATCTTTGGTTAAATTTTTAAAAATATCTATAAATAAGAACGATGATATTGCGCAGTTGGCGCATGCATACATTTGCAATATGCGATATGTTTGTCTTTACTAAAAGCATCTGGCTAAAATGTAAAAAGGTTTTCGCCCTAAGGCTAGTAACTTTAGCGCATTTTCCATGCATTGATCACTACTTCCCAAAAGGCTATAGCTATGTGCGCTAAGTTTTTGTTTACTAGATGCATCTATGGTTAAAATTTCAAAGAAATATCTTCATAAATAAGAAAGTTGACACTGCGCAGAATGTGTATGGGCACATGTAATGTTAACAATATGAGATATGTTTACCTTTAACAGTAGCATCTGCGATAAATTAAAGATATGGTGGGAGAATTGGGGTTATAGAAAATTAACTTCTTTTCATTTACAATCCACATGAGTGCAACGCATAACTAATTGCAGCAACTGAAATTTTACGCCTTGTCTTCGAATTACGCCTCCACTGGCTGTATACCCTTGATAGAAGATTTATTTATTTTGAGGTGATTAAACCAAAGAATTATGGTTACTCTTTGATTAAACCACACGTAAGTTTCGTAAATTCTAAAGGCTACGTGCGAATTATTAGGTATTCATTTCAATTAATGAGTGATAAATGAAAAGACATTATATCGACTTTTAGTGCCCGACTTTTTTCGACAGTCCTTATTGTGTGAGTCACTACACGCCTACGACAACCGTATTGTTTTGAAGCATATAAAAAATTTTTAACGTACTGGGAACGCGTACTACTCATATCTAGCATTTAAAACTAGTTTGACTACGAATTTACAAAGGGACCTATTTCCGATTTTTAAATTTTGCCTTACGTGAGTACATCTTTCTGATACCCCATTTTCAAGATATTCGCATTTGAAATTTACCCACAAACGTCTCTACCTTCAATTTTTTCTTTGTAACGGGAGCCCGTTAAAGAATTTTATTTGGCAGGATTTCTTAAATCTTTTAAAGTTGTGTGAAAGCTTAAGGTCCCCGGAAGTCGTAGGGTGCGACAAAATTAACATGAAATAGTGACGATTTTGCAAAGGTCAGATCCGTCGATATCGAGCCTGGTACGCAGCGTGTGAATTGATGATTCAGCGGTATTCCTCTCCATGCGGAGTCGATTTATACTTGTTACAGGATCTCATAGGCTAGAAAATTTTGGTGGTTGTGCGTCTCCAAATAGGTGTTGTAACAAAGCACCTATCTTTCCACCGGTTTTGGTGGCCACTCTGAGGATGAACACTCGGTATTTAAAGGCGCTTAGTTACGTGTAATGTCGAAAGTTGGTTCTAAGAGTCGAAGATAATTGATTACATTTATAGAGTTGTCACCGCTATCGTAAACGAAAGCTGTAATTAAGCCGCCGCCGTTCGCAACCGTTTCCGTAAAGATATTCAATAATTTTCGTTGCGCCCGAAGGCTGTGGTCATTTAGAAGACGAGGGCAAATTAATATTTTAGAATTTTAGCTACGTTAAGTCAAGATTTTTATTTCAATGGGTTGCACTAGCGTCTTTTACGCTTGTGGCTTGAATCTATTTTTTCACATTGTGGAGCTACATCGGTCAAGCCACCACGAACCGTCACCAAATTCTTTAGTCGGAAACCACCACCATCAAATTAGGTTTTTTTGTGAAATCTCTCCGAGAAGGTGACCGTGATCTTTCGGAAAAGTTCATATTTCACGGCCAACGTCGCGGTAGCGCCCCAGAAACATGTCTAGGACTTATAGAGCACAAAAATCCGTCTTAATAAACGAAGTCGGCGTGTCCAATTAACAATAATGAGACAATTTAATTAATAAACTCACCATCCATTTAACACAATTGAGACACCCCATTTGACTGGCCGCATGAATCGGCGCCATTCCATCTTTCGCTCGTACGTAGAGCGAACCGCCGGCCTCGAGCACCAGGAATTTGAGGACGTCGAGGTGTCCCTCCTGAGCGGCAAGATAGACGGGAGTCACATCGTTGTCCATCTGAGTGTTTGCGCTGCAATAAAATACAAATGAATGAATAATAAATCGGAAACTTTCTGCAGGTGATTAACATTTCGGTAATATAGTTACGAAACACGTTAATTTGCCTACCTTTACAAAATAACAAAAGTATAATTTCTCTATGGTCATTACGTAAGTGATTACTTATTGACGCCGTCCACTTTACAGCTATTTTATTGATATTTCGGATGAGTCTCTTTATTGCTTTGTACTACCATCAATAGCCCTCGATAAAAGACGCTGTACGCGTTCTACTTTAAAGTAGTTGATGCCAAAAATAAAGGTCGCATCAAAAAAGTGACAGTCTTTTAGCTGTTTTGGGAATTTATTGCCGGCTTGTTAAATTCGGTAGTTTTATATAAATATTATGCATTTGAGAAAGGTAGATACTTAATGAAAATGTCAGTTATATGATAGCAATTATAATATTATTGTATGGGAAGGGAAATTGCATAATGCAATTATTTAAACAATTATACAAATTGATTATTATGTCAAAAGTTTAAATGTAAAATTCTTAGACTCGTCAATAACTATTTAGGAGGTAGGTTAACCGTATATCATTCGCCATATGTTGTAGAGGCTCTAATTGAATTCTGTAAATGGTAACCCAATTGAAGATTGACGGAAGATAACCTTCATCGCAGAAATTGTTAAATCAATCTTCTGTCTTAAGAGACGCGTACAGTTAAAGCAGAAATAAGAGGTATGGAAGGTGCCCTCTATTATATGCCAGTCCCGTTCTCGCTTCTGATTTTTTCCATTTCTTTACTCTTGCTACTAAATAAATATAGTTAAGAGTGTAGCAACAATGATAACAATTTCCAAAGATGAATGTGGCTATTTATGTAGAATTTAATGCAAGAATATTCTATTCGTAGCACCACATGCCAATAAAATTATAGGATTGGATCCACCATCAGCAACACATTAAAGTTCTTCATGTACCGTCCAGGCTTGATTCCTCAATGGTTTTGCAATATGGAACGGATTTCCAGCAGCCAGATTCGTAGCATAACCTTTTATTTACGAGTGGTAAAATATATGCGAAGGAACATCTTCGAATTGGAGAACCGCTTTTCGTATAAAAAAACAGGATTAAATAAACTGGCATTAAACTTATTGTGATAAACAAAGAACCCAATTTCTCCAAGCTTTGAAAATATTTTTATTACTGAACAAGCCGTGGGCCAAATAAAATGAATTGTCATAATTATTGAAACTTATTGCCAGTGCCGTAGAGGTTCAATTTTATTTCATGCAAGTGAGGTCTTCGACACCTGTAAATGCAACTAAACTTTCCTGGTAAAGGAAGAACGGGAGTTTTTCACACAAAAAAACGGACTTACCAATAAGTCATAAAAATTGAAGAACAAAAATAAACTCTCCCTGAATTGAAATGTAGTAGAGGATTATTCCTAGTTATCTTCCCACAGCTAAACAGAAAGGGATTTGTCTAAGGATTCTGTTCGCGGCCCAGCATGAGAACTGCTTACTTATTATTTTAAACTTCAGAGGTCTAATGGATTCTCAACACCAATGATTGGATATGCCTCATGAGTGAAGAGTACGTGACGTTATTAAGCTAAGATCATGAAATGAAATTAATAAAAATTGCTAATTTTCAACAAAAAATTGCGGGAGAGGTCCGACATTTTGCATCTTAAAAGTTCACTTCATTTCGCGAAAATCTGAGGTTATGTTACTTATAGTTCGTCATTCTTAAGTTGGTGAAACTAAAAAATCATATGTTACGCTAAGGGGGTTTGTTAAGTTCTTCGTCTACTAAATTGAAATCTGCTGGGTTTAACGTGTATATTAACAGTTAATGTAAGAAAAGTAGTATAATAGGTACACCATTATACCTACCTATTATAGTACTTTTATTGCATTAACTGTTATATACGTTAAACCCACCAGATTTCAATTTAGTAGACGAAGAACTTAACAGAAACCCCGTAGCTGTCACATAAGATTTTTTTAGTTTACTACACAATACAATTTTAGGTTTAGTTCGACCTATACATAAAATAAGAGACATTTCCATGTCACATGCGGATACACTTCAATAAAACCACTTTTGAAAGCGCATACAGTCTAAACTTGAATGCCGAGAAGGTGACAGCATTCACCGCCTTATCATTCGAAAGGGGAAGGGACACCTTCCGCAACTTCCATAGACCGCATCCTTGTTATCGACCGCCGATCAACTTCGAACGATTATTTACCTGTTTAAAACGGAACAATAACGTCCTCAAATAATTCAATACGTAAGACTGGGACATACATCGAATAGTTGGACGTAAAAAGCCATACCAGGTCAATTATTCATCATTACGATATTGGCGCGTCCGTATTCCCGCCTTTACCTTCCCGAAAGGCATTTTTTACTTTGTTGACCCCCCCCCCCCCCCATACGTGAAATTAGCTTTATGACAAAATTACAGATGACGTGTCCCCACGTACACTCGAGTTGGTTGAAAGTTTAATTACAAAGTAGGGTCCAGTTTTCGAGTAATACGCGAAAAATCCTCAATCGTGCCTCCTCGTCCCCCCACGTACCTCGACCGACCACCCGCGATCGAACCTCGACTCGGGAAAGCTCTCGAACTACGAAGCCAACGTAAAAAACCGCCAATCGACCCCCCCCCCCTCTTCGGTTCCCTACGGTTCCCGCTACGACCATCCAAATTTTCCCAACACCGCGAGGAAGGGCGAAAGGTGCGAGCTGGGCACGCGGCGCGTTCGAAACGTCTCGTCGCCCCGCGCACGTTTCGCCACCTCCACCTTCCCGGAACGCCATTTCCTATTTATCTCGGATGAAAATCCGTTTTACTTCCAAAAACCCCACACTTTCTTGAAAAATTACCGGTTATAAACCCATAAATTATAATGATGAACAAATTTACGTCTCGAGCGTATCTAATTGCTTCTTAAAGGAATGGATATTTGAACTTGTAAAGTGAGCGGACGGAGAGTCAGTACCTAATACTCAATCGTAGAGTTATAGTTAGTAAATGAACTGTTAATGAACCTCGAATGTCACAGTACTTCAAGGAAATGCTCATTTGTCATTTATTAATTGAATTAAACACATAATAAATTGCAAGAAGGTAGTCTTTTATATTAACGAAACTTGCCTGTGATGTAATAAATAAATAAATGCGTAAATGTAGCCGCTGAGAGGCGTGGTTCACCGACAGACTTAATTAACGTAATTGTGTCTTGGGCATTACTTATTATTATTAACTAATTATACGTCCAACTAACGTCAATTATTTGTAATTGAATTAAGTTTGTACAAATATTCGTAAATCGTGTTAAATTAGCTGAAAGGATTATTCCCTTTTGTAAAATAGAATATAAAATTGTGCTGGTTGAGGGTAGTTGTAAAAAGTTTACTGCAGCTGTCGGTAAGGCCAAGATTGAGCTTTAAATTTTGATTCTGTAAACCGCAGACCATTCCACTGCGGCTTCTAGTGGCTCAAAAATTGAGCCTCCAAATTTTGAGTCTGTAAATCGCAGGCCATTTCAACCGTTAATACCAGTTTGCGTTCCCGTGGCCATCGGTCTTGAGTACTGCCACTTGTCCATTTGTATTAGATCAAAAGTGAAAAATAAGCGAGTATAAACTAACCACTTGACTTTACACTTATCGGGTAACGTAAAATGGCATACAAGTTGAGTGGTATACAAATCAGCACCCGCCACAGGGTACGATTTTGACATTTGCACATTTTAGTTACTTAAGCACTATAACCTTTTGCGAACTGTATTAGTAGATATGTATGAGTTCAGGTGACCCCTAAGACTTTATAATAGAAAGTTATAAAGCGAGCAAAAGCGTTAATTTCCTTCGTTTGAGTATATTTTGAGGTTATGAGTGTAACACAAAATAAACGCTATATCGTACCTAAACTTAATGTGATTAAAATTATGATAATGCTAAAAGTCTTGCTGCAAAAGTTGTCAATTTGGTTATCTTATAGGATTTATTTAGCCCTCATACCGAATCACGCACTCATTAACTCACATTTTCAGCACTCATCAATCGTTCATGAATTGTGCTGTAACCACGCACACCAGTTTATGTTATATTATTTAGAAGCCATATAGTCTTTCGTTCAAAACGAAATGGGAAATGGGTTAAGTGGAAGAGCGAATGCAGTTTCTGCTGAGACTGCAATCGAACTTCGCCCAATTAGCTACTTAGCACGCAGAATGTTGTTTTTTTGTACTTTATATATGTATGGATTCAGTTGTAATGTAGCTAATAAAAGACATTATTATTATTATTATTAAAGGTTTAGTACTTTGTCATTGTAAACTACTAGAATAGGTAATTGTTAATTGCATTATCCGGCTCTGATACTTAGATACGAATGTTTATAAATTTATTTGTTATGGTTATACAAGCTATTGCATTCACCTAAAAGGAACTCTGTGCAAAAAAAGTGTTAAGTAATAAATTGTGGTTTTGGGTTTTGTTTAAATTCAATTGTGGTAATCGTCACGCACTAAAAAAACCGTCAATTGTTTATATCTCAACATTGTTGATTTTGGTTCGATTTTGTGTAGACCTGGAGGAGAATTTTGCAGTTTTGGCAGGTGGTGAACGGTCAACCCCTTAGGATGGGGATGAAACACAACTGGTCAAGGTATAAATGAAGAAGACTTCTCCTATATCTATCTCGTCTTTTTTGGAGGTTTTTGATACGACAGTGTCCACAAGTCAATCCTTTACATTCAACAAGCCGAATTCTAGTAAGCTAGAGATACGTTGACATTTAGGAAGTCTCTTCGCTGAACGGTATCATGTGCACTCATTAATTTCGCGTTCCATTTTAGCCACCCACTTGCAATTCTTAAACCAGTAATTGAAAGGATACAAATGGACGAGAGGATATCCTTGCCTACACCGTTCGTCACACCTATTTACAAAATAACTCACAAACTTGAGGGTGGTTCGAATCCAATAATAGTGATTGTAAA